GTTTATTTTATCTTCCATAAAATAATAATGCTGTAGCCGCTAGGTCCAGCAATAGGGTAGTTTCACAATATTATTAATTTTAAAATACGAGTTACAAGTACACTTTTGCTTATTTATTGTGAAGATGGAGTGTAATATACCCTTTGAGACGCTAGAGGGAGCAAAGTAAAAACAGGAAGGAAAGTTAAATGCTATTAACAGCTTAATTTTACTCAGAATGCGAAAACGTGATTTGTTATTGTTGAATTGTAGTTTAACTACATTTTAAGCTTGTAGAAGTAACCTTCTTGTTTCGTCCTTCCAGTAAATATTTTTAAAGGCTTTTTCCTTGCTATAATTACTCACCTCACACTTTTGCCTTGCAAGATTATCTGTATAAAATGGGTTTAGTTTTTGTTCTTTGTGTTTTTCTGGGGAAAAGTGTGGAATACTAAATTATATTTTTAAGGGAAAAAACATAAAGGAAGTTCTGTAACAATTTTTCCCAATTTTAAAATTCCTTATAATAAGCATCATGACCACACCTTTTCCAGTATTCTTGCCCCCTGTAAGACCATATAATGTAGGCAATTATGGCAGCTATATTTGTTTCTAGGAGCTCCTCACTTCTTACTTTTGTGGGACATGAGAATCCAGGCAAAAGAAATTACCTATTCTGTCTTTCTACAGAAGGAGGATAAGAAATATTTGGTTTTCTGGTAGATATGTATTTAATGTGGCTTTAGGGTATAAAGTGATTTTTTTTAAAAGAAAAGGCTGGAAGTGCTGAACTGTTACAGATATTTTAGAAATATTTGTTTAAGCACTTTCTATATGTTCATTAAACAGAGATACAGGAAATAGAGATCTCATACTTCTTGATTTCCACTATGGTTCCATGGCTTTTCTTGAATACAAATATTTTAAAGTGAACTGAAGAGAGGATTAAAATTTTTAAAATATGGGTACAGAGCTCATACAGATTAAATGCAATGATTGAGTGTCCCAGGAATGGAGAATTTTTGAAAGCATTAAGAAAAGGCACGTTACATTTGCAGCACATGTTACTAATTGTAGACTCATAAGTTTACCAGGGCTGACTGGGTTAGAAAACATTCTGCTACACCACAGAGTAGTCAAGCTAAGACTGTAGTCTGTTTGCTTAGAAACATTTTTTTCATTTAAGAGTGGACATGAAAGAATTACTGAGCCTTACCTAATTTCTTGATAGGGGCTTTATTCTGCCAGCTTTTTTGCCTGTAGAGCAATTCCATTGACACCAAGAAAGCCAGCTAGGTCCAAGCACTCCACTAAATCACAAATTCAGAGGTATGCGTGCAAACATACATGAAATGATGAAAAGTGGCATCTCTTTGAGATTTATGTTTAGGAAGAGATACAGAGGCCAAAGTAACAAATCTGGTGCATAAGATGAATAAAATTGAATGTTCTGAAGAAAAAAATCAGGGTACATTTTTATGGTAATTAAAAAAAAAAAAGTACTAGATATGCTTACTCTTCAGGTGTGTATTTAAATCAAGAAAAAAGGGACGAAATATTTTTTGTCATCTCAAACTTTTCATGTGTACTATGGAATACAATTCTGTATTTTAGTACTTTTTTTTTTGTAAAGTCAAATGTTTACTGTGCTGTGTTTTAAGAGATAAATAAGATCTGAAAACATCCAAAGTTCATTCAGAAATGAGAAACCATTGCTGTTTTCCAGAGCAAATCAGAATCGAGCCACTAGGTGTCTCTAAATGTAAAATAAAAGTAGTCAAGGCAGCAGCTAAGACTACATAAGAACATGTGGAACAGAGATGCAAGAGACTGGAAAACATTTCCTTTCATAGGGAGCAAACCTGTGCTTTTAACAATCAGTTACTGAGTAGAAATGTTTGACTGAGCCTCTGATGAGCTAAGTTTCTTTTGAAACTTATTCCTCCTTAATTATAATGAGCACAGTTTATTTTTTGTGTGGCAGCAAGGAATTTTACAGAAATCATACCAATATGCAGAGCTACTAATAACGAAACAAAAACTTCAGAAAATCTTGGTTAACTTAAAATAGATCCTAAAAAGAAAATACATTTTTCTTTGAGATTTATATTTCTTTGCATTGTTTAAGGTAGCTTTTTCTGATCTGTTTTGCTGTACAAAGGGGGCATGCTTCCTGGGGCATGTGACTTCAATGGTCCAAATGACTCCATCATTGAAGAGGCAGAGGTCAGAGTAGGGGCAGAATAGTACCCAAACTTAAGGACTATAATCAGAAGTATGTGATCCTCTTCCCAGTTAGTGTACTGGTACAGTGTCAGGTTTGTACATATTCAGTTTCTATTTATGTAAAACAGTAAAAATATTTATCTTTCTTTTCATAGCATTCTTAATGAGAAGATCCCAAAGCACTGTACAGATGTTAATTCCAACTCTGTTTTCGTAAGACAGGTAAGTGATAGTTTTTTCAGTCTTTATGAAACTGGAGTCAAGGAAGGAAAAGTGTGAAGTGACATGCAAAACTTGTACACAAAAACCTTAAGGTCAATCTGGACTGAATAATCTATTTTTTCTAAAGCTTAGGACCAAATTAAAAATTATACAGTTTTCTCATTAACTCCAGATATTCAATATTCAAAACTTAGAAATTTGTGGTACTTAGTTATAGTTCAAATACCACTTTTCTGTAATAGAATAAGAAAAAACCTGTGACATAAGTCTATTTTTAGTCTAATAACCTACTAGCTCCTGTGACTATCACAAATATGACAGGTGAAATATGAATCTATGACAAGTTATTGTATTTTTCTTTGTGTTAAAACTTCAGGATTTTTTATTGCTGTGGCTTGACTTTTTGTTATTAATCTCCAAAACTGAAGTGAATAGCTATTTCAATAAAATTTGTATCTATGTACTTGGTGGTTAATAACACATAACGTTTTGAAGGAGGGCCCTTCCTTTGTTTCCTGTTGGAAAAGGGTAAATGGAGTGCATTGAACTCATTTATCAAGGTGATTCTTGTGAAGCCCAGAACACATCACCTATTATCCCTGGCTATAGTTGTGCCTATCTTTTGGAGGCAAGGACAAAACTGATCTAATTTGTAGTTCCTATCTTCAATATTGCTCATAGTTTCTCAGGGTCAGAAATCAGCTGATTGATTTTCTGCTTATCCTGTCGCTTTGATGATGCATTTCTTGATAGCATATTTTGTTACAGAGTTCATTATTTCTATCTTTTATCACTTACGGAGTCTACTGAAAATTATAGTATACACCTGGGGATGCAGAATCTATATTTCTGAAAGGTAGAAATGAACTGGCTGGAAAAACTGATTTTTTTTCTTGCTTTCCTGGTTGAACTCCTTCTCACTGGTTTCAGCTTTCTGTGTTATTATGATCACAATAATGATAATATAGCCATTTATCTCTGAATTTGACCTGAAGAGTGCGTAATTTTTTCCCATAATAGACAAAAATCTTCTTCCCCACTAACTCTCATTTTAAGCCAATAATTGACTTCAAGAGGAAGGCAAAAAAAACCAGTTTATCACCTAGTCGTCTGAGGTGACTGGCATATTTCTTCATGTGCTAGTGTAAGGAGATACTGATGAATGTTGATCAGCTGAAAACTTCACTCTCTATATTAATTTGTAAAGGAGCAAATTCCCTTTCTTCTCAAGGGGAGAATTCCAGAAGAAAGATAGTTAAAATGTTGGTGTTCAAAGGTCAAAACTTCTTTAAAAGTACACATGGGTCAGCATAAAAGTAGCTAAGAAAAGATGGCTTCATAATGTTCACAGATAGAAATGTAGGGGATGCAAGGAAACTGTTCTTACACTCTATATTTGTAATAACAATTGAAATTTGGCTAATTTTTTTTCCCACCAAGTTTATTTTTAATATTCTCTTCTATAACTACGATATCTTAAAACAGCAATAGGCTGTGTTTTCATTTTCCTGTGAAAGTTGAGAGGTTATCTTGCACATGTTTTTGCAATCAGTATGCAAATGTGCTCTGTTCCTTGTTTTCCTCATGCAACATATTATATTAAAATCTATGAGTTCATGACCATAGCTGTTGCATTACAAATATCCTGTAGAGGAGGAACTTCCTGAGAGAACAATATGTAGTTTTAATGCCAAGTAGGTAAATCGTCAGACTGAAATCTCCTTGCTTTTGGTGAATTAACTGAAAGATACTGGCAGGCTTCAATTTGCTAGTATGTGCTATATAAATTCGTATAAAGAAGGAGAACTGAAAAAAAAACCCAGCAGATTCTCACTAAAAAAAAGAAATACTTAAGTTCACAAATAAAAAGAATCACATCCTCAATATCCTTGAGAATTTGGATTGAAAAATAATTACATACATCTTTTGGAAGCAGATCACTCAACAATATCAGGTATCAGGTGACACATCCCTAATAACAGCATTGTACCTTATTACTCTCCTCTATTGAATAGAGTGGAGTGAAAGTATAGACAGTTTTGATACAGCTTAGATAAAAATTCAATGTAAACAATTCCTTTTGTTTCTTTTTTTTTCAATGTCTTTCTAAATTCTTGATTCTGCATATCGATCTGCAATGTTGGGACCTTTTAATTGAAGTCAACTTTTACGACTGAAATGTAATATCAGGCATTAAATAAAAAATGATGATATGGAAAAGGGAAAACATTGGGGAAGGCATGACTAAGTAATAGGGTAATTACTTGAGGTATTGAAAATATCAGTTTGTGAAACATGCATGTTGTACTGCCGCTTCTACTTCTATGCCCTTTAGCCAAACACTATCATGACAGCTTGTTCCAGCTCAGTGCTTTTCATTATTCTTTAGTTAAATATAATAAATGCTTTTTCCAAATGAAAGAGCATTTGCACATGCCATGTTCTCAGTTCACAGTGACCTTCTGCTTATGTTAAGTATTCTCTGCATATTTCCTACCATAAAGTCATAACATCCTTCCCAGTTGCATATATAAGAAACAGTCATGACATCACAGTAAAATAAATGAACCAAAATGACTGCTGTTGCTGCTGGAACCCAAGGATCCAAGACGAAAATCAGTATTCCACGTGAAGGCCCCCGATATCTTAGAAGGTGAGTGGAAGAAAGGAAGAGGAGGCAAGTTTGCACAATTTCAGAAGGATATAGAGATGCAGTTGTATAACTTTGAGTCATGCTAAGGGTTACTGAACCTGTTTACTGAACCTTAAGTCAGCAGTGATTAGATTTTTGTTCCAAGTAAATATTTTTTTCATTTGACCCAGATGCACACTTGGGATCAGATTCTCAGCCAGTATGTACCAGACTAGATCTGTTAACTTCAGTGGAACTCCATTGCTTGCATAAGGTGGAAACGTGGCTCTAAGACTATCAGACTGCTGTGGGAGACTTGTTCAGAATAAATAGAATTCAGAAGAGAGATATGCAAATATATTAATCTAAGACACAAGACCAAAAAGTAATATGGTAACAACTTCACATTACGGCAGAGTAGCAATCCCAAAAGATTTAGTAGATCCTAAACCAACATAAGTACTAGACACTTCTATGGGGGGAAAAAAAATACCAAGACTACACATTATGCAAAGTGACTGTAGACTTTCATGAAATCCTGCACTGAATTTTCTTCAGTATCACACTTAACAGATTTTTGACCTTGCGGGCTATCACAGAATCACAAGAAAGGAACCTCTCGATCATTTAGTCCAACATCCATGCTTAAAAACAGGGTCAGCAAGAGCAAGTTGCCCAGGATTGTGTCCAGTCAGGTTTTGAGTATCTCCAAGGACAAAGACTCCACATCCTCTCTGGACAACCTATTTCAGTGTTAAACTACCCTCACAGTGAAAACGAGTTTTCTTATGTTCAGGTGAAACTTTGAGTTTCCATTTGTGCCCATTGCCTCTTCACCTGTTATTAGGCAACAATGAGAAGAGTCAGTCTTGTTCACACCCTCCCATCAGGTATTTATAAATATGGATAAACCCACCCCACCTCCCTAACTTTCTCTTATCTAGACTAAACAGTCTCAGCTCTCACCTCTCTTTTGAGGTGTGGCCATCACCCAGACCCAGTTTCTTGGAACTGCAGACAGCCACTCCTGAACTCGGAAGACATACGCACTTCCCTCTGCTCCAAGGACACTCCCCTACTTGAATTTAAGACCTAAGACCAAAGGCCGCAATTATAACATGATGGAGACTGAAAAATTTGGAAGTAAGATGTTACATGTCTGTGGAAGTACATATACTATTAATCAGAATTAAAACCCCCAAAATATACCCCAGTATTAATCTGAACAAGTAGTCACAAACACCAGAGTTTTTATAATGATTTCAGTGTTTTGAGTATCGTTGTAAAATATTTTAACATTGCATGAGAATATTTATTATCCAGCGAAGTGCTGCAATAGAATTAGAAATTCATGAAGTATATTAAAATTCAGCTTGTTTTTTTGTGCAATATTTATTCACACTTTATTTTAGAAAATTAAGCCTACTTATGCTTAGCTATAGCAAATACAGTAAAATAAGTTTTGACCATGTGAATCCGTGTTAAAAAAAAAAAAAAACTAAACCTTCTGTATTCCATTTCAGATGCTTTGCAAGTATTAAAATCAAAGTTTAAGAACTCCCAAAGTATGTTCTTAATAAAAGAACACAGTTGCACTGAGTTTGTTATTGCTGGCAAAGATGGCATTCAGAAATGTGTTTAGACTAGAGGCAGCTGCATACAGCAGATAGAAGTTGAGGAAATGAGGGTGAGGAAACAGTTGAAATATTTCTCCTTTCCTCTTCCCTCTCAGAGTGTGTGTAGAGGGAGAAAGAATTTGTTGTTGATCTTTCACTGCTCCATCAATTGGCTGGATTTCCTCCATGTGAAACATGGGCAGAGCGTGCAGGAAAAGTGAAACACACTTGCAGTGAGTAAACAGGAGGAAACGGGTAATTTAGTCTTCAAGCCAAACTATTCTTGTCCCATTCGTAAAAAAAGCTTCATTTTAGTTTATGTTCTTTAAAATATTTTTCTACTGGAATGGAACTTCTCTCTGTAAAAGGTAGGTTTTTCTTATCACGCAAGCTCTTTCACCAACGTGACAAATATTTAGTTGGTGGCTATAAAAAGCAACTTCATGGACTGCAGATGTGCATTGCTCATTTAAGTTGATGGGAATATTTCTTGAAAGACTTCCTTTGAGGGAATTCAAGTAAGTGCAGTGTGTAAATTCTGCACTCTTGCAGTGCAGTTGAACTGCTGCAGTGTTTGGACTCTGCTTGTGGCTCAGCCACAGTTTGGCCTCTCCGCATTTGCACTGAAAGTGAAAGCTTTCTCAGCGTGAGACATGATGGAATTATTCAGGCTGTCAGATAGACATTCTGCAAATATGATGCAATTCCATAGAATACTTAGGGCTGTTTATGGATAGATGAAAGCAAGAATAAGGAAAAGGAAGGTAGATGAAGTTAGGCAAGTGGGAAGGGAATCGGAAAACAATGGTAAGCTTTTGGGAACCTTTGCGGTGTGAAGTTGTGGACTCAACTTTCTGTTTTATTGGCAATTACTAGGTCTTAAGTATAGTAGTGAAATATATGATATACATAAGTATATTCTTATAGCAGGTTTAATTTTTGTAGGACTGCAGTGATGTTTCATCCAAATTGAACTGAGCTGTCTTACATGCATTGATATGGCAGGAAAATTTAAAGAATATTTATGTTGTTTAAAAGTCTAAATTCACTGAACTTTAGTAGTCAGACACTTGAAACAAAATGATAACCAGGTTAGATTTTCATAATTATGATGACTATCTGAATCAAATCGTATTAGCTTCAGGGCATTTTTCATTAGTGGAGGTGATATCATAGCATGGAACTTAGCATGGCTGTTGAACAAAGTCAGGATTTGAAATGTTCACTTTTTAATTGGTAAGGTGTTACTGCAGTATGTCTCTTCTAATAGGCAGAATAAATACAATGTAATAAAGGATTCTTTGTAAGATGATAGAAGCTACTTCAGTTTATATGAAATCTGTGAGCCTTCTGTGACTATTATTGAGAAGAATTTTTAACTAGCATTGAGGTGATGGATAGTATAGTACTGTCCCTGGTCACCTGGTCTCCATTCTGCCCTTTGTGTTGTATCCATGTATTTACTAGTTTCTGTAAGCTGCAAAGACTTTTCACATGTTTTCTTTCCCAAAGAATTCTGAGTAATCATATTATCTTAGCACGATGGTGCTTACATTTTTTTTAAGAGTACTTGTTTCCATTTTTGATTGATGTTTTTTATATCACAGAAGTCCTTTAGATTTTTTTTTCCATAAAATTCATTGGCAAGCATTGTTAAGGTGTTATCTGAATATAATCAATTTTTTTTTATAGTGAAAAAAGGAAGGTTGGATAAAGCAGCTGGTAAGTCTGATTTCCCTTTTAATTTCTGCTTTACAGTTTTATTTCTTAGGCATGCACATGTGTATCACGCTAAAGAATCATTTAAGCTTGCGACTGCTTGCATGCATTTCATCAACAGTTCAGTACAAAACAAATGAGGAAAGAATTTAAAAATACACGTATATTTTAAAGATCGAATTAACAAACAAGATTGTGGCCTCAGGCAATCTGTAATTTTCAGTTATTAATCGTTATTGTCTCTCAAACTAGTGGTATTTAAAGGATATATCCACTGAAAAGAAGTTTTACATAATTTGATGACCTAAATGGGTCATCACTCAGGAGAAACTATTTTTTACATAAAAAGGGTGCAGGATTTTAGCTTCACCAGGGCAGGGAGGAGATGGTGTCTGAATTTTCCCAGTGAGGAAATACAGATGGGAGATACTGATGGACAGTTACAGAGATCAGGTATAGGCTCTAGGCAATAAACATGAGCAAAATCAAGCTGCCCAGGACTCTGTAAGTCTGCCTCCAGAACCAAGATTTAGCCAGAGTGGAAAAGAAAGTCCAAACTCAGCCAGAGATTTCTCACACATAGGTAGACTATAAATTTAAAGCCTTCAAGATCTTTGTAATTACTAGTTCTCAGGAGAAGCTGGTATAAAGTCAAATCAATGCAGCAAGTTTTGCCATTAGGTGTCTAGCTAATACATTTAAGCAACCTCTGCAAATCATTTAAAGTTATCTGGATTAAAGAAAGGTAACCTGAACTAGCACAGGTGAAGCTGCTTTCTGGCAACATGATTCTTCTAACTCTCTGAAGTAGTCATTCTTCACAGTAGGCTGTGAAGTATGTGTATGAAGTATAGACTGAAGAATCATCTTTCTTTCACTGAAATCCTAATGCAATCAGAAAAATCTTCTGCAGGGTTCAGCAAATCTTGTATTTTGTTGGTACTCAAAAGAGGTGATAATTTAAAAAAGATGATTATCAAATAGAATTATTTGATAAAAGTTAAGTAATTTTAATTTTCCTTTGAATGCTATTGAAGACTTGTTCATGCCATAAGTAATGGCAATAAAGTTTGAATGGTGTATTCTCTGATAATTGGCTGTGTTTTCTTGGGCAGAAAAATTATGTAGGTGGTGACTAGAGGTTGGGAGCTGCAGTAATGGCTTTGTGGAAACAAAGTTTCTTATCATTAAACAAAATTTACAGCTCCTTTCCACTGCCGGGGTATTGTAATAATATTTAGTCTTGACACTGTTATTCTTCAAGGAGGTTACATATTCGCAGTTATTTAGAAGATAGAGTTTCTACGTTTTCTTACTTGACATAACTCATGAAATCAGAAGAAGGTGAATTAGTGGTAAAGTGCTGAAGGGTAACATTTAGATCCAGAGAAGAGCCAAAGAGGCCAAGGAACTACTGGAGAAACAGCTATTTTAAAAGGCAGATGACAAGGTTCCAGGCAAGACAATGATAATGCAGGCAGTCTGAAATTTCTTTAGTTTTTGTGCTAGAAAAGTTGCTGGGGAAGGATAGGCGATTAGGTTTGATAACCTGGCATGATACATAGGAACATGAAATTTTCAAATGGGAAAGAAATTATAGAGTTTAGTATGAAGATAATAGAACAATGAAAGAGACTACCACTAAAAATGTGTCATAAAAAGTCTCTACCTTTTCAGTTACGGCTTCACTTAAAGGAGATAAGTTTTAATTTTGGGGAAGGCTGGTTGTTGGATTTTTTTATTTAAATGTAGATACAGCTGTGAGTGCTCAAAATGGCTGGAGTTAAACATTGTAGGTGGCTATTTTTCAGCCATGCGATTTAATGGAGAGTTCTTTTGAAAATTTCTCAAACCTTGAGTTGCAAGCCTCCAAACTACAAACAAATCTTGCAAGAAAACATTTTGCAAATTTTGTGTTTTGTTTGCCTCAGTTACACAGAATGAGCAATAGGATGTATGCGAATCATGCATCGTTTGACACCATTTCTTACAAATAAGTCACCAGTCAATCTATATTGACTTTGTCAAGTTTTTTCAGTGTAAGAACAAAGACATGTTTGAGAAGACAGGTGCACTGCATTATAGAAAATAAATGGACAACATTGATCACTGTTGATTTTGTTTATTGAAAAAAATAATTCCCATTACATAACATCCTTTTGTCCTTTTGTCAAACATTATCATCAGCCCTAATCGATAAGATCTACATACAGGATGTACAGAGCTAACTCTTCTTCACACTTTTTGTTAACTGCAGTGTAATTTGATACAACCTATTCAATAGCCTATTGTAGAAAGTGACAGCGACAGCTTCCCTCTCACCCAAATTGGTTGATTGACCTGTGGTAATACAGACAGCTCAAAAATTACTTCTGTTCTTGGCTACATCTCATATGTATATTTTGGCAGTAATTCTATTTTTTTTAAAAAAGAAAAGTCTTCTTTTGACTGTATGTCAATGTTGATCCTTATGTAGGATGATGGAGGCTAATGAAGGATGTGTTACATGCATGCAAGCTGAGAAGCTTTTCTGAACAGCCATATTCATCGAGATGATATAATATGCCCTTTGCTGCCTTAGATTCCTGTGTGAGGCCCTAAAGGGTAGAGCTTTCCCTTAGTTCTTTTGCTTTTTTCTGTCAGTGATATTTTCAAGCACTTTGAAATTTTTTAAATTTTATTCTTTTTGCTGATCAGGTCCAATTTTATAAATACTCATACTGTGCATTTAGAAAGATATTTACAAAAATGTTTGAGTTTATTTGGGACTGCATCTGAAACCCATTTTGCTGCTGCAGAACTAGATTCACACACAAAGACTGAATTACATGTTACAAGTCTGAGGCCTTGCCTTAATTGGACATAAAAGCCCATTAGCCAGTCACCAATAGTATCATACCAATTGAAAAGCAAAGAAAATCCTAATTTGCAGAAAGGGAGCGCGTACTGGTTTCATGCAAGATCTGTCAGGGAGATTGATAAATAATCTGAGAAGCCATGTCTGGAAGCTGATCCTTAAAATACTTGCTTGCATTTAGAATTATGTTCTCTCCCACCTGTGATGGGCAGGGATTTTCCTGTCATAATCCCATTAGAATTAATAAGAATTTCCTTGTTCAAATCCACATATTTGAACCACATCTCTCAATGTTTTGTATGGAGTAAGAGTTAAACCCCTACTACCATGGGGCTGAATGTTTCCAGCTTCTAGGAAGAAATAAAGTGGGGTTTAATGTGCTGGTTATCTCTTTTTCAGATGCATTCAAAACCTATGTTGTTTTAAAAGTCCAAAATTTAAAAAGCACTACAATAGACAGAAGGGGAACTGAACCTTGCTGGGAACAGGACTTCATGTTGTAAGTAACAGGGAATTCTTATTAATTGGTTTTGTTGTATCTTTCCTGTATTTGGATAGTTTAGAGCAATTAATAACATCTGAGACCACGTACAGACTGCAAAAACAAGGAAAAAATATCTAGCTCAGAGAAAAGGTGACAGGCTAGTTCTAGGGAACAGAACAAAAGTTAATTTTGCAAGCCACATTGCAGATCAAGGCCAGCAGTCAGCAAGGGGAAGAAAATATTTGCCTCCAGTATCTTTAATTTCATGTAAAGTTTGAGGAATACAGGAATGAGAAGAAAGAGAACTCAAATTGGTCCTCATGCAACTTGATTTTTGTTTTACTCAATTTCCTTCTGTATGACTCATATTTTATATACTTAACTGCCAATTTAGGTAGTGTCTTTATTTTTGACCCATACTGTTTCTCACTTCTGTCTGCAGATCTTTGTCCGCTTCACTCAACTCTCCATCTTGTTATTCAATCTTTGTTCTCCTCTTTTCTCTAGAGCCTTATATACACCTCACTGGTCAGGAGGGTCAAAACACTTATATTTTATTCCTGAGGTCTAGAGTTGGTTGAAATATTTTTACAGAATTAAACATTTAATTGGCTTCAGTTATTTTTATGAAAAATGTCCTTTTTTCAATTTTGGGTTTTTTCTAAAACCAAGTATTTTAATATTTTGTCAGAAGAATGAGTTGTTTTGAATCATTTTTCCATACTTTCTGTTTATCAAAACCTATAAATATCTTTTGACAGGCTCTACGTATGCTGAAACTGATATTTTGATTGAAATAACCCCCCCAATTTTAATTTTATTCTATGTTAAAAACAGCATTTCTGAAATCTTCTCCATTTTTTTTCTTCACAGATATTTCACATAAATTAATTTTATTTGACAGTGCTCTTGATCTCACTTAAGGGCTTCATCTTCATTGCAAATTTTTCCTGAAGTTATTAATTGAATATGGAATTTTTTTTGGTGTCGTGGAACTGCTTTCTTAGACAACTGTGGCAGACCTCTAGCTTGCTTAACTGAAGACTCTTGAGTGACTGAAGGACCTGTTACGTTAAGCCAACATATATATATATATCTTCTTCACATGACATTTTATGGCTAGATGTAATGACATATCAAAGAAGTCATCAAAAATTCTGACTTCTGACCATATAAAACTAATCTTAATCTGGGGCTAATTCTTCCCCCACTCCCCAGTTGTCAGGCTTCTCTAGCAGACTGTTCAGAGCCACAGCCTAAATATCCAAACAGGAGGATTGTATGTGTCTTTGAAAATGCTAAGGAAAGTTCGTATCAATAGCTAGCCTTTATAAATACCATTCTTATCCTGCAGCTTTCACCTGTAGAAAAGATTGTTATGTTTCAGTGTAGAGGAATCATTGCTGTATGATAATACTGTTAACATGATTTTTCTGGCACTTTACTGATCCAGACATAATAGTTCTATAAAATATTGGACATGGATTGGATGACAATGTAGTAGTATACCAGGAAGTAGATCAATTAAATTTCAGCATTTGCCCTGTCTGTTACCGTTAGTGCAGGAGGCAATTAAAAATATTTTAAAGTGGGTGTGTGTAACCTATCCTCTAAATTTTCCTGAGGAGTTAAAATATTATTTAATACATTTGCTTTTCTGTTGTATAAATGGTTTGCTTTTAATCATATTGTATGTAAATGAGAGTCTTCCATGACATCAATGAGAATGAGCAATTTATTAGGATTACTTTCTCAATTTGCAATTTAAATGTTACCAAAGAATGCTAAACCACTTTTCTAGCAAATATGCTATGAGGTTGCTGTAGCTCCATCTACTGCCTACTCAACTATACAACACAGCAGACTTTTAAAAAGCATTATAAATAGGCATTTACAAATACATTTATATAGACTTTGTAAAGTCATATTGTAGTTCATTTTCTTAAGGGCTCTCTCTCCATCTCTGCCTGTAAAAAACCTGTTCTGTTAGCACGTATTACCAGCTTGCATTTTAAAAATTACGTATTGTTTGAGCTTTCAATATGCAGCTTCACTGTTCAGTTATCAGTGCAACACTTTTAAAGTTGGGGTCCAAAAACACCAGAAGATAAGAATTTACAATCTGACTTCCATAACAAATTGGTAAAGGGAGAAGCTGAAGAAAACCGAAAATTCACTATATCTATTCAACTGCTTGAGTACAGCAGAAAATTAGACAATGAGGCAGCCAACACAATGTTTTTTGAGAGCAATGTGATGAGTTCAGTACCTGTCTCAGGGGTGGCACCCTTTGCTCTTCTCAGGTTTCACTTGTCCTTTTCCTGGAAACTTTAAGTACACAGTAATTCACTGTGGTACATCACACAAATCAGTTGAAGATTAGTTTCAGTACTTAAAATTAATTCAGTCAAATGGAGATTACATACAATCAGTCACAGCAGACACCAATGCCTACTTCATTATATTGTTCATATTTACAGAACTGGCATGTAACTATATATAGTAATCCATAAAGGAATGCCAGACATTCCGTGAGGAAATAACTTCTCTCTTAATTTTAGTTCAATGTCATGGGTGAGTCATATGGCCTGGCAAAATTTTATTTTAAATTCTTGCAAAATAAGGTTGTGGTATGGTATTTTTTTGGTCAAAACCAGCTAGTAATAAAATGCATGCATCCTATAAGTAGAATTAAAATAGAGCCTGGATCTGCAACTCTTGAAGTTGAGAGCTGTTTTCCCATTGTATTTTTGTTGTGTAGTGCAGCTTCTCAATTCTAATGAAGGAAACAAGCTCCAAATATCTTTTATACCTGGTCTTCTTTACAATGAAAACAAGAAACTGGTTCCGTTTCCTGTAGGAAATGGTCTGGCACTTCCTTCTAGATTTTTGTGAGGGAAGATGGAATTTTTCCCATCCCATTATAAATCATTCTTAGCTGATGGTCCATGTTGGTTGGCAGTGTGTGCCATCATAGCTGACATTGCCGACTTTTACTGTTTCGTTGAAAATGTTCCTCTCAGTTTTCTATTTAAAAGACTGATCATTTTTGTGGATCCCAGTTTTACCTAAAATAACTCACCTGGCAAAAGGCTAGCTATATTATACTACTCTTGCACCTAGCAAGTTAGCTACAGTGGAACCTGAGAATGCAGGTTCTTCAGGGCTGTCCTGAGCAGACCAGTGTCCTGAGGAGGCAACTGAGTAATTCCACAGGCAGAAGCTGCTCAGAAGAAGCTAAATCTGAACTAAAGACATTTCCTGGTCCTGGTTTCTTCTTGGGTTATATCCAATAGGGCCAAGTCTTGTAGCAAAATAAAGTTACTGACAACTGGGACTTCTGTGCCACATTTCCAGCAGAATTGTCCTCATCAGTTTGTAAGAACAATCCTGAACAATAAGGCTTGAAACTTGGCTTGTCCAGTCTAACCTTTGTATCATACCTACTATCTTGCATTTTATGAGTATACTGAAAACAAAACAACTCCGTATCTGCTGTAAGTCACTAACTCAAGTTATTATGATAGATTACTGAGCAGTTGAGACTGTGTTTTCAGTTTAATGGTTTCTGTATTCATTGTTTTTAGTGAAATCTCTGCTGATGGAAAGGGCTTCATTATAGAGCTGTGGAAGAAAGGCTTGCTCTGGGATAGTATTATAGGAGTTTTATGGATTCCCCTTGCAGCTGTGGAACATGCAACAGATGTAAGTCAACTTTCTGTGGAAATACAAAACAATGAGTCAAATCCAATTAATTTCCCCAAATACTGTAATGACTTTTATGATCGATGTATATTTCTATCTCATTTGTTTCAGTCTGTAATATTGAGGCATAATGCACATGTGACTCTCAAAGTGACAACTGTTATGCATTAGCCATATACCCTGGAGAAATTGTTCACATACTGAGTCAGGTATAATTCAGTAAGTGGGTTAGAGTTCATCTGCACTCACGAATTATTAGGGAGGCAGGGACGGTTTGGTTTATGTGATTAGAGTGAGGGAATTTCAAATTGAGGTTCCTGGCCTGGGTCTTCATTGTGTGACCTTGGGTAAATCTCTATTAAAATGGGCAAAATGCTGTTGTTCTGTCTCTGAAGGGAATTGGCCATTGTCTCAAAAAGGAAAACAGAAATTTGCCCTGTGGTACTATGGAAGAAATTAATAGTACAATGCATAGAGAAGGGTGAATGGAGAAAATGGGTCAATCCCAAGAGTTGTCATGTATCCAGTATAGTCTTAGTTAGCCACCAGAATGAGCATGCTTGCTCTCAATAGGCTAGAAAATAAAGAAAAAAGGTTTCTGGGATTGTGGAAATACTGAAGCAATCTGCAAGTGCTGCAAAATTGTCTGAAATCAGAAAAAGTAAGAGGTACCTTATTCTAATACTCCACAATTCTCCCATTCATAAATATGCTTTCTTACACATAGTCCACAGAGTCTATTTTCAGAAAAGTAACTCTGAATTAGAGAAGATGAATTTAATCTCTGCAAATAAAATTAAGTTTCCCTTCTTTAAATTTTCTAAAAAATAAAAAAGGCAATTGATGATGAGGTAAAGGAAAGAGAATCGGAAAACTTCTTCCCACAGCATCTCCCATCAGTCTCTATAGCCATTTCTTTATAGGAACTAATAAATATTCGTATATACATTGTACTGACGTTTCAATGATTCTACTCAGAGGATGGAAGCAGGGGAAGAAAGTAATTCCTGCTTAAATTAGAAGTTGCTCTGTATCGCAGCTGCCGAGCACCATTTCAGGCCCCAAGACAGGTTGTTTTGCTCTGCTACCCTAGCTGTTGTTGAGTTACAACTTGCTGACACAGAAGTTGTGGCTTAACAGTAAAGACTGAAGTGTTAAACAAAGATGCAAGAGTAGAGATTTCTTAATTTCTTCAGACCCTCTAAGCCTTCATTTATAATTAGGTCACTGTGGAACTTTCCTAGTTATTTGTCCTGCTCCTCTTAAACCTGCAGCTCTGCTCTGGGCTTTATAATTCAGAAATAACCTATAAGGGAGCGTTACTTCAGAAGCTCTTTTTTGGCTTGTTATTAGCATATATTGATTGCTTCAGTCTTGCTAAAATGTACTTGTTTGGCACCAGTTCAAAGGGGAACTGGAAAATCTTAGTTTATAAGAGTAATTTTCAATATTCATATTTCTTGCATCTTAATTATCTGACCATCATAATGTGTATTTGTCTATATTGTAGAGCAAATATTTTATTTGTTTGAATTCCATGCCTGTGAGAAAACTTGATGAAGTCCTAACCACTATTTACATTAAAAAAATTTGGAGTCTAGAATGGATCCTAAGCCTATTAGTGTCATAAAGAAACTCCTATTGACTTAGGGGAACCTTCCTGCAGGAAAAAGTGGATAATGCTATAAATCCTACCCAGGTAACTTTCAGAATGTTTTTTCCTAGGAAGGTCCAGGTTCCTGGTGGACATTGCATTCTGAAGTAATAAAAAATGGGAGTGAGATTCAAGGCACAAAAACACCAACTTCACATGAGATCTTACTGGATGTCTACTTTGCATTACCATTTGGTGAGTTACGGATTGAGGTCTCACTCCAGCTTTCCAACCATTCTATTCCACTTTAAGTTCCTAAAATACAGTGGCAAATAGTAATTTTTCTATAGAATTGTAAATGCCTATTCATCACTGGAGCATTTGTATAATTGATACTGGTAAGTAATAGAATCACTGAGAGCCACTTCCCTGGAGGAGCTAGATGAACTATTTCACTGGTTAATGTTCATCCACATGTGGATTGTAGAGCTGAAGAAAGAAGAAGTACTTCTGTAAGGCTCAATCTACTAGAGCCTCTGTGTTATAGCTCTGTATCACAACATCTTTGATCAGCTGTTTGCACAACATAAGTTTTAGTAAAATCTAGGGCTTCACAGCATTTTTATCTTATTAGCAAAGGTTGTCTGCCTTTATGAATAGTGCATGTGAAGATGGAAACTGCATATATGTGTATGAAAATAGTGTATATGAAGATAGATCAAATAATGCATCTCCTCACATTATTTCCAGATACAATACAAAGAGATTGACTTTATCAAGATTATAAGTCCATCTATGCGGTGGTCCAATATGCCAAATAAGCTCACAAAGAGAAATTGCCTTAATATTTTAGTCTTTAAACAGTCTAATGAACTATGGCTAAAAACACTAATCCTAAAATTTATGCAAGAATAAAAGTTCAAAACATGAAGAAATGTGAATGAGAAACATTATCTATTGAAAGGGAGGAATAGAAGTCATACCAAAAATATGCTCTTCGGCTGTTGAATGTTCTTTTTGAAATGCATTGTTTGAAACTGAACTTGGCAATACATATGATGCTGATTAGAGCAGACTGGTTATTTCTGATGTTTCTGGGTGTAGTCTGCATGACTACACTCCTGTTAATACATGTGGTAGAACGTATACCTTTTCACAGAGCAACTGTGGACTGTTGTGGATTCTTATGAGTCACAACAGGCAACAGGGCCTACATCCCCCCCCCAAATTACTCTTTATTTAGTACTTCTTAGCCATTAAAACATTCTAAAAGGTAACCTAAGCCATAGTCACATTCTGGTTTTTGTTTCCGCTTTGTTTGTTTGGTATTTTTTCCCCGGCAGCCACAAGCGATTTTCAGTTGTTGGAGTAAAAATTCATATGGAAGAACTATTTTCTTGCTATTGACATGTGCCTCCATCTAGATTATTTTCACTTATGAGATAATTTTATTTCCTTTAAGCATGATGGAAAGTGTATATAGGTCAAATGGACTGAGTCCTTAAGTATAAAAAGAGAATAGTAGTACAAAGAAGGAGCAGTTTATAAAGAAGATGACAGAAAAGGACAACAGTTTGTGCAGTAACAGTGGAATACCCATTATAAAAGGAGAAAAATTGGTATAAATTGTATTTATTCTATGCGCCACAAATTCTTCTTGAAACCTCCTTTGAATCATCAGAATGCTTTAAGTGTGTCCTTATATAGTTTTCATACCTAGAAACCTGGTGCAAGTCTGTTGTAAACACACGATTAGAGTTTCTGTAAGCTGTAAATTCAGGTTGTTACTGATTTCAGGCTGCTACTTGAAGGGAGCGTTGGTTTGTAGGTTGATGCCTGTATTCTGTTTCCAAATAAATATATTTGAAAGAGTGTTTTAAAGACAGTCCCTGGGACTGTAGTCATGGAGCGCTGTGGAAATCCTGTAGAGGTCTCTCTTACACTATAGTTTTTGGTGAGGAGGGAAGAATTCAAAAGCATTACTGTCGGGTATTGAGAAAGCCCCATGTTTATCTTTACCCTCTACCTGGAGTTTAACTAAGGCATTACATTTTGATTGCTTATTCTGTTGAATCAGTAGCCTCTTTGTTATGACAAATTACATTGGAAAGGTAGAAGACTGCAGTTATTTTTCACATTTCCTGAAAGATGTCCATTTGAGAATGCCAAATACTTGGTAGAAATATAAGAGCCTTCCACGCTGCTTTAACAATATGGCTTCATTTGGACATGAAGCACTGTATATATATATGTAGTAACAGGGAAATGTTTTAACATTAGTTCATTCATCACCAAGGGATTAGCAAATGAGAAAATGAATTGTTCTGATACAATTTTGATCAGCCTAAAACAAGGTCCTGAAAAATCATAGCAGAGTGATTGGGAAAACTCATGCATCACAGTATAAAATTCTAAGTACAGAGCACCTTAGTGTAATGATTAAATATACTTACAACCTAAAAGTTGGCATTAACTTATGCAGTAGGAAAACCACAAGATCCTGTTGTTTCCCAAAGTATTATCTTTATCTTCACTTTGTTTCACAACAGTGTTGCTTTTATTTTGAGCAAAAGATATGTCATAAGTTTTACTTTTTTGGTAGCTAACCAGGTGTGAGTAAATAGTGTGAGAGGAAATAAATCAAAACATAGTTCCTAATATGTAAGCAAAACATCAAAAATGGAAGAAAAGAGATAGGCACACAAATTCTTCTAATCAGTATGGAAGAAAATTTCCTCACACTCAGGGTCAGATCATGAACCCTTTCCTCTCACTAAAGCTAACAGGATGATTTATAGAGTAAAATGTTCTGCAGGAAATCAGTTTGTACCTCCACCTGCAGATGAGACTTGCCAGGTTTCTCCAAGGAGAGAAGAGCTTGAAAAAGGTCAGTTCTAGGCCAACAGCACATGGAATTAAAGTAAAACCTGATTCTTTACTTAAAACACAAAAAACCCCAACAACAAAACCAAAAAACAAATAAACAAGAAACCCAAAACAAAACGAAAAACCCCACATCTTGGAATGCTGTGCATGGACACATAAGAAATACGTGGCCAGTTAACAACTGAAGTTGGACTGGAAAATTAAGAGGTCCATTTTCTTCCCAATCCAGCAATAGCTCATTTTTCAATTGTAAAATGAACTGTTTCCAAATTTGTGTAACAAAAAAGTAACTGCTTTAGGCCTCTTGAAGTTTTCAGAGCAACAATCAGAAGGTGATCTTGGAACTCTGTTTCTGCTGTTCTTGTAAAAAGTGATTTAATTATAATAATGTTTTGTAATTGACTCGATTAATTCCGTATTACTAAGAATTTAATTAATTTATTTCATTAATTTAATGTGTACGTCCTCTTTTAGAAGTTCCTTCTGTAAAATAGACTGAAAGATTTCTAGCAGCTTTTTCTTTCTCTACAGATACCCACCAAGATTTAGATTGCAGAGCCTGGCACAGAGGGACACCCCTCCAAGGTACAAGACATTCACATCAAGATACATATAATAGTCTGTCATCCATGGAAAGTGGTCTCAGCATACAAGAAAGCAAACTAAGGTATTTTAATTTGTCATATTGCACATGTATCATAACATTTATTGATTTTTTTTTTTTTAATTTTCTAAAAATTTCTGAGTGATGTTGTGATACATATACAATTCTTTTAAGCAAAAATGTGACTGGAAGTTTTATAAACAAGTAAAACTATAAGGCATGTGTGTCCATTATTATGGTGGGACAGAGCATGATAAGTCTTCATGTTCTATTGAAAGAAAAAACATGAAGAATACTGTATCCTGCCAAACCAGTTTGCAAATATGTGTGCCTTCTCAATGAATCATCTGTGGTCAGAAAAGAGGATTTTAGCCTACAAAAAATGTAGATATTAAAAGCAACCAGAAACATCTTTGGCAAATTGCCACAAAACAAGAATGTAATCTATTAATGATGCAAAAGGGGTAAATAACATTCTAGAATCTTTTGCAGCAGGTTGTTATGGATATACAGATGGCTTCAGAAGTGCAAACGTGTTGGTCTTCATTTAAAGTGATGTTTTAAAGGATAATATTTTAAAGACAATGCAGGTATTTGTTAGCTTTTCTATGTTCTTTAATGGGACATTCATGGTAAAGCAAGTTTCTTTCAAATAAAAGGAACATCTCACTGA